TTATAAATAACCCTGAAAATGTTGTAGTCCATAAGCGAGAAAACACCCCGAAAGAAGATCACTCTGGCTGGAACATACGCAGCAAAACAAGTAAAGCACAAGGAGATGTGCTCTCAGCTATTCAGTAAACGTTTGACATACCGCTGTGTTTTTAAGTTTAGTGTAAAAATTGTTCCTCTCTACAATGCGACTACTCATGAATATTAATTCAACCCCAAATGTTTGGGATTCACACTCCAAATTATTTTAATTTAGCAAGACAATTAGTCAGTCATAAGTGTGCAAAAAACATATGGACTTATTGGGATGTGATGTATCAACTCACGAGCCCTTTAATCCAATGACAATAGCTTTAACATGACAAATAGCTAAATGCTAATGTCACCATACTCGCAGATAATATCATCATAAAGGTTTATTAAGAGCAGACAGAATGGACTAAATACAGTACATTTTAGAGTGTGCTGTGGAAGGAAAACACACAAAGGATGGTGTGAAAAAGAATTACATTTTTTTTTTTTCGAGGTGGTAAAACAACTAAAAAATAGAATTTAATTGCTGTTTAATTCACATCTCACATAATGTTGTGTAATTTAATCAAAAATACTTGAGTGTCTGTGAGTTCCAATACCCATACTACCATTCTGTTTAGAGAGGATTTAGTATGTCCCAATAGATATTCAGATAATCCTGAATTCAGTACGACCCAGTGTGCACTGTCAGTATTTGCAGTATGATGTAGCTAAAAAAACATGTTTGCTCATTCAATCCATCAATAAAACCTCATTTTTAAATACTGGTCCAACCGATTCAGTCATCAGCTGTTTCACATGAATCTGTCTACTGAAATAGGCGCGGGGTGGGGTGAATCTATCGTTACGGGAGTGGCAAATTATGAAGGGTCTGGGAAAGTAGAGAAGTGTCTGAAGAAAAGGAACAGAGAGGAAGAACGAGCTGGAATCCACACAATGACGCAAACATTGGGGGAGTTGGAAATATCTAAAGGAGCCTATTTTTACCAGTTTTAGCTCGATTGTCTCTGAAGTTTCCTTTATCCATCTACTGTCCTCGAACAGACAAAGAAATGAAAAATGCCACAGATCAATAAGAAAGCAGACGCCAAGTAGACCGCCTCAAAATATCCTTGAGTAAACGCCCTGCATTCTGAGCAGCTAAAATGTTTGATTCCATCACAAATGTAATTTCTCTCTTTGCTTGGTATTGATTTTACAATATACTTTGTTTACCAGCTATAGTATACACTACTATACACAGTTATGTCTAATTATGGTCGACACAGTGCATCATCAGGTCTACACAGGGGTAGAATTAGTCATGGAGGTACATCCCGCTTTTGTGACTAAGGCCAGAAGACCAGTCTTTGTGTACCTGTAGGGACCAGAAAAACTTTATAATAGAAAGTATTTTCTCAAAGTTCCCTTGAGTTCAGTATTCAGAGGCTCTGTAACTATCTGCTGTTAGCTGCTCCTAAGATCAGTAGTAATAATAATAGTTCAGGTGCAATCCCTACGATGCTGATATTAAACATCATTTTCACATTGGCAAGAGAGTAAAATCCTGATTATGCACTATATCATCGCTCGGATAGAAATGTGACAGATGGTTGAAGTCAGTCTGAGTATTGGAACAGAGGTTATTGAATTTTCTCTTTTCATTCACAATTCCTTTGATTTACTTGGTAATTCTTTCATTTGAAGCCGTTAGCTAGAAAGTAGGGAATAAAGTATTTAATGAATGGTTTATTATTAAGTTTTATTGATTCACTCTGGTGATAATCATTTGAAAGGAGCTGTATAGAATCCAAATATAAATATAAAAAATAAATTGAAGCAATAATGCATGTTAGCACTCTACTTTTCTCAAAATGTCTTAATATGAAGGAATACAGAACATGTGGCTCCTGCAACATTAAAACTGTTGAAGCAACACACTGTGGAGCCCTTCTGTGACGAGGAATTTAATATTATTCACACATATCTGAGAATTGTATCTTTGCAATAGGAGCTTGGAAAAGTGGGTAAAAGGAGTTAAAATATTTTTGACTACCAGGGCACGCAGGTATGATATATATAACAGTTTATAAGATTATGGATTCACATTTAAGCACATGACATTCATGACTTTCTAATTATCTTTTTTAGAATAAACTAGGGAAATCTAATTACAGATTTCTTCAATTTAGTTTTGAATCACCACCAACCGAGTGGTCCATTTGTAGTACTCACAGTTTAATTAAAGATATACTAAATACAACATTTTAAAAACTACTACAATTACTGTAAATCTGAGTCCTTTATGGGGGCATTCAGAGGTTTGGTGTCTAAGATTCTAATTAAAATGGTACATGTATGTACATTTAAACCTTGTAATGTGATATATGAACTGTGACTGAATGAAGAACACAACATAGAAACCCTAAACTAACCGCATGAGATCAAAATAACGGTGAATTTAAAAAGTTGTTACTTAACATATAGAATTGTTAAATAAAGATAAAAATCCTTCTTTACTTAAACAGCTAATAATTACTAGTCAATAAAGGACTTTCCACTGGGGATATGTGGGTCATAGAGGGTTTTATTTCTGTCATGTGGACCCTGAGTCCAAAGTGAAATGTAACTGATTGATTGATATTTATGGAACCACAACTATTCGATGGCATTTTCTTGCGCTGTCACCTAGATACTAATAGAGAGATGCAACTCCTTGGCAAGAAGGTCCTCCATAACAAAGCGTTACCTTTCATTTCATAGCCTGCACTTCATAAAAAAGTCTCTTCAATTTAGTGACGCTGGAGAAGAAGGGAGCGTGATGGATCGGTGTGAAAGCTGCGGGGAGCCATAAGTCAGGCAGAAAGCACCAGCCGCCCATCTGTCAACAATCTCAATTAACCACTCTACAGATAGAGGCATGCATGCTTCACGCGGCGCTGCAAAAAAACAACCAAGAGAAAACCGTGTATTCAAGTGAGCTGGATTGCTCCATCCATCAGCGGGGGTGTGTGGATCAAATTTAAATCTGACATTTAGAGCTCCGACGCCTTCGCTGGCTGGCACTGATATGAACTACAGCAAGTGACAAATTGTTTGTATCAGGCCGGTCCCTGGGGGAAGCCTCTGATAATCTTTAGGGTTGCCATCGACACCCTTGACATTTCCCCGAAAGGTCAGCTTTGGTGTCAGTTAATGCTCGCTGTGTACATACAGCCTGCAGACAAGGACCATTGTGATGATCGGGGTTTGTGCCCACTCGGGAGCGCTGCCTCGTCTGTTTTGACAATAACATGACTGGAGCGAGATCACAGCAGGGTTTAGCCGTCCGCGGATATAAATAGTGCAACTCTTTTTTAAGTTAAACTCCCTGGGGCCTCTGTACTTCCCTATAGTTGGTTTCATTAGAAACGTTTTATTTTGCGAGAGACTTCCCAAATTACAACAAAATGGCAAAGTATTACAATAAAAACAAAGCTCACCACTCTCTCCACGGGTGTGAGAGGATTGCTGACAATTTATCAAGGAAAAATATCCACGATTAATTTGCTTCAGTAGGCAGGGTGTCCTTTTACAGCTAAATTAAGGCACCTGTGTAAAATTAATTTCACGTCTCCAACAGACCAATTAGTGTCTTGGATTCGGATTGAATAAACAGCTTGAAGCACCGTCGATATACAAAGTCCTACATTAATGCAAATAGCGTGTGTTGCATTTTCTGATTAGCCAGGCTTCCTCAAAAGGCACAGTGGGGTACATTAGGACATGTTTAAACAATATAAAATAAGGGATCACCAACCATGCAGATACTTCTACCAAAAGGGTCCAAAGACCACAGGTATGCTGTGTGGCGGCGGCAACAGTTTGTTGTTGTTGCCACACAGGAAGCTGAATTTTAGTGTTGCTTTGCAGGTTCAGACATTTTTTACAGCTAGATAAATCATTTCAAACCCCACTGAACAAAGCTTTGTTTTTTTTCTTATCTCATGAAAGGTTGACACACTGGAGATCCGTGAGTTTCATAGGACAGCGGGATTTTTCAACATGGTTAGTTACACGTTTTTTGTTTTTTTTGTGTACATCAGTTAAAGTAGAATTGTGCTACGTAAAGCTATGAAAACAAGTCAGAAACCTTGTTTCATTATGGGTCTCTGTATCAAAATCTAGATTTAAGCAGTGGTGAAGATTTTTAAAAAAGGTGGACAAATATTCCATTACAAGTACAAGTCATGCACTTATAATTCTTTATAAGAAGTACAAAATCTTTGGCAATTTCTTTATGAACAGTAAAAGATTATTAAAAAATTGTGCAATATGTTTTAGTTGTAAAATTTGATTAAAGTAATAATATCTGTAATGTAGTGGAGTAGAAGTAAACCAGCACAGTTGAAGCAAGTACTGAAGTATAACTAAAATTTTACTTGTATTACATGTAATTTTCTATGAGTCAGACAATGTTTAAGACCTAGATGATTTCCCTCCTAAGTGGCTTTTATTACAACATAATCAAATACCTAGAAAGCCAGCCATGTAATAGTCCATTAACATTACATTCTCTCTGAAGGTTCTATTGGGAGGCCGAAACTACTTTCCTGTTTTAGCATCTTCAAGTTGAACAACTCTTTTAAAATATTAAAAAGATTTAAGTCAGATTTCCTATACCTTAAAGCTACTATAAACACTAACACCAAGATTACATGAAGTCTATGATTTACAAAGTGTGTGTCTAATGTCCCCATTAGTGTTTTAGCTGTGTGTTAACCTCCATCAATGAATACAACAGAATATGTATGGACATTAATGTAGTTTGCTGATGATTATTACGCTCTCACGTCATGTCAGCTGACATTGTTTTTTTACCTGACTCCATCAGCAGACTTTTAGCGCTTCCGGGTTTGCACTGAAGTGCTATTGGTCAGTTACAGGCGCGCTTAGATTCTATTGGTCCAGAATTCCGTCGCTCTTCCAAGGGGGAGGGGGGGGGTTGTAGGAGTTCAAAACAAGGAAGTAGCTCGGTTTGAAAACACAGACGCACACTGTTGTTACTGTTGAATGAAAAGTGTCGCGTTTAACTGTCAAAATGTACATAGTCGCGTGTGCTCTTGCCCTCGTGGTTTTAATAAGTCCCGCCGCTGACGCGTTGGACAATGGCCTCGCGCTGACTCCGACAATGGGCTGGCTGCACTGGGAGAGATTCCTGTGTAACACCGACTGTGACAGCGACCCCGACAACTGCATCAGGTAAGAGACAACGGGGCTCCCGGGGTCCGATCGTCTGTTTCTTGCCAGTCTTGCTATGACGAAACCACATGTGTTCATCTTTCATACGTCTGGTTTATAAAAAATGGATAATAAAATCTCGTAAAAGGGAATGAACGTAAATGAAAGCTCTTAAATCTAGAGCCCCAAACAGGAAGTGACTGAATGGGATTTACACAATAAACTAAACTAAATTATACATTAGCTATCTTGGGAATTATCATTCCAAACTAATAGCATTATCATTCATTCATAGTTTTTCATGCAATCTTTATTTAATAATCATGACAGCGTGTAATTATCTTTACACAATGATCTTTTTTAATTGAGAAAGAAGCGAAACGAAGACACAGGATTGTAAAAAGTTTGTTTGATTAAATGTACCTTTATTTTTTTGAGGCACTGGGAGATAATAATGTCATGTGCAATGTAATAAACTAAATCTACCTAGCATTTTTAACAAGGTACACAAAAGTCTGCACAAATCAGATCAGAATCTGAATCATACGTGGAATTTGACTCCAGTAACTACCAGTAAATAAATACATAAAAAAACAAAGACTGCATACAAGTAAATGTTATCGTGGTTGAGAATGAACCACGTACAGAGTGGCATCATGAGAATAACACGTGTTCTGCCCCATTGCTCCTGCCCCCGACGTACAAACTGATACCATCTCGTCCTGTTGCCGTGGCAGCGAGCGACTGTACATGCAGATGGCAGATGTGATGGCGAAGGAGGGCTGGAGAGAGGCCGGTTACGAGTATGTCTGCATCGACGACTGCTGGCCCTCCCACCAGCGCGATGCCCGGGGCCGCCTGCAGGCCGACCCCAAAAGATTCCCGGGCGGTATCAAGAAACTGGCCGACTACGTGAGTGGTAGATATGAAAGCGGCCTGGAGACTCTGGGTGTGAACATACTATTAATGCAGTAATTCCTCCCACGGCATCAAAGAGAGACGGGTTCAGATAGACTTAGGAGGAGTGAGATATACTTCAATAGACTTCAGCGGCTGGAGGGGGTCAAATGAGTATGTACTTGACATGACTTTTTTTGTATTGTCGTTTTCAGGCTGCATTATGAATAGTAGAATCGGTTACATAATGGTAAACTATGTCATGTGTAGCACATATTCCCTTTGAAGTGATTCCACTTGCGATGTTAACAACTCCGTGGTGCGATGCGAGTAACTGTGGAAATATTTGACAAATAAAAGAAAGCTCTGGTTAAACAACTCTAGAAGTAGAAGTGATTACACAGTTAGATCACCTTTTTCATTATACATCCATCTAAGCCGACCTGAAGTTATTTACATAATGGAGAGGAAAGTGGGATGCATGTCTCAGATTTCATACGGTGTGTGTGTGTGTATACTAAGTACCTGGAGAGCCGGGGGAGATACGTAGGCACATATCCGTGTTGTGTGGGAGTGCGCTGCCATTCACGTTCTTTGCTACAGCTCCCTTGAGCTGAAGGCCACTGTGACAAGCTCATTCCCACAGAGCGCTAAAAAAATGATGTTCACCGGGAAATACATACATTCGGGTTCACTCAGAAAGAGCTGTGTCCTCAAGGTATTTTGCTCTGCAACATCGCCACCTGCTGGTATGTGTTCAAACTATGCAGCGCGCTAAGGGCGTTTAAATAGTTTATATCTCGTTTTCAAAGCAGCAGTTTGATTTGGAAGATCATCTGAAACTGCCTACTTTGTGCGCTGTAGTTACTTATGGTAGGAGTACCTTTTATTGAAACGTGTTTCTTTGTCTTAAGGTCCATTCTAAGGGACTGAAACTGGGCATCTATGCAGACGTAGGGAAAAGCACCTGTGCCGGATACCCTGGCAGCCTTGGATACTATGAGACAGATGCTCAGACCTTTGCTGACTGGGATGTGGATCTACTCAAATTTGATGGCTGCAATATGGACTGGACCTTGGTGGGAGAAGGTGAGTTTTTAATTTTGAAAGGTGACTTAGTTTTTAAAATGTTGACAAAAGTCCCCAATTATTGTTCTGTATTTTACATAATGCACATACTTAAAAGGACTAATTACGTGTATCAGTATTGCAGGTTTTTTGTGGTTCTGATTCTGAACTTCAACAGACAAGTTTTGTTATGGGGTTTAATTTAACACACTAATTTATTCTGGCTAAGGATACGTGAACATGTCAAAAGCACTGAACAAAACTGGAAGGAGTATCCTGTACTCCTGCGAGTGGCCTTTGTATGAGTGGCACTTTAAAAAGGTGAGAAAAGTTGTCATTTTGAAGTTGCATTTTAGTGTTTTTATTTTGCCTGAATAAGCAGTTGAGAAAATATGTTAGATTACTTACTAGAAAATCTGTGTTATGACACTAAGCATCATTTCTGTGCCTGCAGCCCAACTACACGGCCATCCGTGAGGCCTGTAACCACTGGCGCAACTTTGATGACGTGTTTGACTCATGGAGCTCTGTGAAGTCCATCTTGGACTGGACTGCATTTCATCAGGACATGATCGTCCCCGCGGCAGGACCTGGAGGATGGAACGACCCAGATATGGTACTCTTCTCTGCTGTATGGTCCTGACCTCAATCTAAGGTTCTATGTAGTGGTTTTAATATAAATAAAAAAAAGGATCCCATCTCTTAAATAGGCTGTTGTGCTGCATCTTGTCAGTTGGACTAAGTTGCATAATTCTCCCCATGCAGCTGGTGATAGGGAACTTTGGTCTCAGTCATGCCCAGCAAGAGTCTCAGATGGCACTATGGGCCATCATGGCGGCCCCTCTGCTGGTGTCCAATGATCTGAGGGACATCTGTCCTCGCTCCAAGGAGCTGCTGCAGAACAGGCGCATTATAGACATCAGCCAGGACGCACTGGGCAGACAAGGATACCGCACTGCCAAGGTGAGTGAGGGGACACAGAGCACATTAGCCTCCTGGAATTGGCATTTCTACATTTAGCCCATAGAGAAAATGCTCAATTGGTTGTGTATAAACACGATCATGTATCTTTGTTAGCTGTGGGGGACGATCAAAGTGAGGAATCATGTGCAACTTCTCCTACAGGTGGACACTTTTGAGGTGTGGGAGAGGCCTCTGTCCAAGAACCGACTGGCTATCGCTGTAATCAACATGTTGGAGCTCGGGGGGTCAAGAAGATTTTTCATCCAAGCGATTCCTGGCTGGAAGATCTGTGAACCCCAGTGCAACGTCACACAGATCCTGCCTCAGTACCAGGAAATGGGCGTCCAGACCCCCCGTAGCAAAATACATTTATCAGTCAATCCGTCAGGCACGGCTCTGCTGACCATCACCCCCATCCGAGACTTTACTGGCTCCCATAAGGTGCAGTGGGAGGACACGTCTGTGAGACGCAAGCACACCATTCTGTGAGCCAACAGGGTTAGGCACGTAACCAGCATGCACTGGATTGATTTTGAATGAACCATTTTACTTGAGTTATACAAAAATTATATATACTGTACAGCTGCTACTTTACCATGAATAAAATACTGTTCACGTGCTGACTTTGCTGCAAATAATTATCTTAAAGACAGATGAAATTGTGCACACATAAGCATATCAAAATACAAAAGGGGCAGAACTCCAGTGTACGTTAATACATTTATTGAAAATTGTGACGACTTCCTCCAGGAAACCGATCCACAGTTTAGAACTGGATGACCTGGCCCTGTGAGAACAAGAACAACACTTGTTAGAATGATGCAGAGGAAAACATGTGTGTGAATTACATGGGTTTCCGTTTAAATGCTGCAGGAAAGAAAATCCGTAGTTACTTAATTAGTTAAATGATATGTAGTTCAACTCCAAGGAATGATGTGGAGCTCGTATCTGGCAGTGATGATATTTCTGGCATAATTTGTTTTGCAAGTCCTGTTATCCTGCTTTTAGTACTAAACCACCTCATTGTAAGGCTATTACAATGACTTTACAGAGTTTAATCTTATGAAATGTTGTACATGCAGTTCAACTTAAGTGATGGGAAATAAGATTGAATACTTCATTTTGCGAGTAACCCAAGATAACAACCTCAAGATAGTGAGTTGGTAGGGAGACAATGAACGGACAAGACAAAGGATTTGGGGAGGGATTTTAAGGTGCACTATAAAATGCTTAATCAGTCGGTCCAGTTCAGAAAGCATACCTGGAAACTGCCCGTGACAGACGGGGCGGGAAAGCACACCAACATTGCTGAACAACATGACCTGAACGAGTCTTACCTTTCTCTTCTTGTCACCACCCAACTCAAAGTGCTTGCATCTCTTGATGGCCAGCATTCTCTTGGATCTACAGTTGGGCTCCACGCACTCAAGCCTCAGGACAATCTTCTTTGTAGTCTTGGCCTGAAGACACACATCATGGAGTCTGATTTAACACACACACACACACAAACCGTGACCTGGCTAACAGCACCAGACAGCAAAACGTACCTTTTTCCTGAAGATGGGTTTGGTCTGACCACCATATCCGCTCTGCTTTCTGTCGTATCTCCTTTTACCTGCAGAACATGTCAGGTTGAGCTACATTCCATGACATCTCATTTAGCATACAGTGTATGGACCTATAAAAAGTGGATTAATTACCCTGTGCGAAGAGGGAATCCTTTCCCTTCTTGTACTGGGTCACTTTGTGGGGCTGGTGCTTCTTGCACTTCTTGCAGTAAGTCCTGCGGGTCTTCGGGACGTTCACCTGGAGAAGATAATAAATAAACACACCAGTAATAAACCTAAAGGCAAGTGGAGAAAACAGCTCACGCTCAACAGGTGACAGGCGGGGAAGTTAATCATAAAGACGTCGAGCGCCGCTCGATGGACGCTTTTATTGGTTTCAATGGCGAACACTGCAATATACTGTAAATTTATTAATAAAACTATTTACACTTTGAGAAGGACAATGTTTGAAATGCAAAACGACACCGTGTCACGTTGAAGCATTTGAGGTTTCCGATAACTGACAGTAGTCTCGTGTTTACCACGGAAACGTAGCAGGCGGTTAAGCGTGTAAATGCAAATGAAGCTAGCTAGCAACCTGCTAGCAGGGAAGCCATTTAACGTCAATTCAACACAAAAACGTGTTTAAAAAGTACGAGGTTGCGATAATTGAGTGTAACGACGGACGCTTTAACCAATTATACGTAGACTATCGTCTCAATATAACTTCATTCGAAAGAAAATGGGAGGGATGTTACCCGTTGCAGATGGCAATTCGCCCCAAACACAGCAAGCCGATTTAAATGGCAAATCTAAGTGCGTAAAATGAACAAGAGGTGAACAATACTACCATCGTTCCGTGTGTCACAAGACCCTTAACACGCACGAAGGGGACCAGAAGCAGATACGATCGTTTATTTGGCCGGATTGAGTTTGATTCTGCGAAGCGCAGTCGGGAAGGAAATTCTTACCATGGCTGCGTCCCGATGCAGAGGAAAAGAGAGAGGCCCGAGGCCGGAAGCACGTCTTATCGCCGGCCTCCGCGGTGCAGGCGACGTGCGGCGCGCCCCCTAGCGGCGGGGGAGGAGCCTGGAGGACCGCAGCGCACGACTCACCCACCCACCGAAAAGGCTCAAAACGTGACGTGGATGCAGAGAGCTGTTAATTGTGTCGTCGTGTAAAAACACAATCAGCTGTCTTTTCTAATGCCCGCAGGGCTTATCAGCTTGAAGCGTGCTCACATCTTCCTGCTGCAACACTGGCAGTGGCAAAGTTGACAAAATATGAATTTGCCTAAAATGAATGTTGCTGTTTGCTGTGTGCACTAAGACAAATAGTCCTGTGTTGGTGTTTAGCCCGCTTGTACTTATCACCAAAACCTTTCAGAGGGTTGATATGAAAATGAGCCGGAAGAAAAAGGGGAAGTCAGCAGAGTCGATTCCTCTCGGTGGGTGGGTTCAAACTTGTTGCATCACAGACTCAAACATTCTATGGAAGGCGAGCGAGGTGAGGAAAAGGTTCATGTCTCTGCTCGAAGCCTCAGCACCTGAAGTTGTCTGTCTGATGCTGTACTATTTTGGGGGTCTGGGTAAGTGTCAAAGCTCTTTGTTAAGTAGGTTGTAAGGTCAGAAAGTGTTTTTAAGTCACGTGTTCAGTTAAGTCTAAAAGATAAGAGCAGCCATCAGTGCATTTCATTTGGAAGCCTTTGGACAAAAGTAGTAGTGAGTAGATTTGTGCGAGCGAGCGCTCAAAGGGAACGACAACTTTTAGTTTGATTGCCAATCCTAAACCCAGTTCATAATTACCACTATACATATATTTGTTAATCAAAATAATTAAAACCATTGTGACTTTATCTTCTTTATCTGTTTGTTTCAAACTTATTTTTCGACCAAGATGGAAAATAGTGTATTCTGCTGCTCTTTGCATGACTTTGAAACCCTTGTATAATCACATCCCGCAGCTTTACAGTGGTCTTGTGTTTTTCATGTGGTTTTGGAATCTATGGAATAGATATCTTGAATCATGTGAACATCAGAATTTAGGACATTTAAAGTCTGGGAATGCTCATTTATATTTATGTTATTGACCTCCACACAATGCAGAGATATTAAATGGATGTGATATCTCAATATGTGCGAGAGAGCCTCCTTTGTCGTTCAATACCACATGCATAACTTGTAACAAACATCTACATCTCTTTCCCTTACACAGGCAAAAATACTCATACATACACATGCACACTTTCTTGCATGTGCTGCTTATCTTTCAGAAAACGTCAGGAAAGAGAACATTTTGACAAGTTCCTGTTAAGAAGAAAAGTAATTTTTAGAGGACATCAAATATGACTTTGGTGTATTCCTTACTGTTGAGTTGCTGAAAAGTTGCCTTGTGTACAGTAAAAAGGAGCATTTCTTTGTTTGCATTAATACATACATTGAGATAGTTTGTTAAAGTGTTGCTGTCTTGTGCAGCAATGCAGGGAATTCTGTAAAATCCAAGAAAAAACGGTTCTAACACGTAGCTGTAAATGCGTTACCATCCCACGTCATTAAATGTGCTAATGATAACCACATTTAAGAAAATGATGTAAATAATGTCGGGTCAAAGCACGACAGAGGCCTGGGTTTCTTCTCCCTTCACGTTGCAGTACAACACTGATGCAACTTCCCTATCGGTTCGTCTGTGTCAGCCGCTGTGCGTCGTCTCCCTTCGAAAGAAACACACAAAAGAAAAATCTCCTTCTGGTGGCCATGTTACAGTGAAGCATTTCACTCAGCTGGCTGCACCCGATCCAAGAGAAGGAGAGAGGGGATGCTACATCAGTGTGTTGGTCCTCAGCCGTCAGAGTCTGCTGACCCCTGTACTCAACACGGCGATGTGAGGCTGCGAAGAATGAGGAATGAGAAAACAATGTTTCACAGAATAGGGAACACTGCTCTCTGTTTATGACGGTGCAAAGACTGATAGGTATCGTCAGTCTAGTATGAAGAAATGTGACACACGCACGCACACCGGTTAGTGGGGAGAGAGACACTTATGGTGGTTTTAAAGTCGCAGTCCAAATGATAAAAGGAAGTGCTCACAAGCTGAAAATAGTCCGAGGCCGAAGCGAACACATCTGAAAGAGACATTGCTCTTTATCTGTGTACCAAACGGTGCAGTGTGGCCATTTGTAGTTTGTTAGTATTTTATATGGTGCTTTTCTGCTATTTACAGTAAACGTCTGCGTCAGTCAGAGCGAGCTAGAGGTGATTGTACGGGCCGAGTCCTGTAGGGTCGTGATAAGTAAACACACTAGCCTGTCGCTAGCTATTCATGTTCATGCGCCTTTTTTCTTCTCCATTTGCGACCAAATCACTCTGAACTAAATACCTATCTACTGCATGTAGTTCAATATCTTTCGTGATGCTACCTTGGTCCATGTTTTAGGAATGACGTCTTGTTGTCTCGCTTCGGAGGTCTGTTCGAATGGAACCACGTCCGCGGGCCTCCTACGTGACAGAGAAAGCCTTGTGATGGGAACATTGTCTGTTGTGGCTGAAAATATAGAACGACGTTGACCAAGATACAGTAGCCGAGGGAGCAGATGCGACACATGAGGAGGGGGGGGTTCGGAGTTGAAAAGGATGACGTTGGCAGGAAAAGATGGGCTTATGCAAACTGCAGCTAATCACACGCTGATATCTGCTCGCGTTCATGCTGCATATCTCTTCTTCTCCTTCAACATCAGTGCCATTGCTTTTTCTCTGTGCATGACTTCGTCGACTCAAATTCTGTTGCATAGCCTTTTCAAAGTAATTGAAAACACTGTTGTGTTGACTAACTTATAGGGCTGAGCTAACCACAGGGCCTTTGCTGCCCGATTGAAAGTACGCATGTGCTGTTCAGTCGAGCTCTGCCACAAAGGAAACAGTTGGGTGTTTTGCAACTGTTATGCTTTACAACATTATTCCCAATTCTTTGTTCCCATGTAGATTAATCCTGGCTGAATCATGTCAGACATTATACTGGAAGAAATCTTCATTAAACGATCTCAGCAGAAGAAGAAGACCTCCCCTCTGAACTACAAGGAGAGATGGTTTGTTCTCACCCGGGAAAAAATAGCCTACTATGATTTTGATGCTGACAAAGGGGTACGTACATGGACCTACTGATGAACTTGATTTAAACGGCATGACATTTGTTTGTTAGTCACCTGACTGTCTCCTCCTCTGGTGAGCAGAAGCGAAAAGGTTTGAAGGGATCGGTTGACCTCGACAAGATCAAATGTGTGGAGTGGGTCCAGCCGGAGCCCAATTCCCCGCAGGAGCGCATGTACGCTTTCCAGGTAGACAAGTCTGTCAATTCACTTCTCTCACAGATAGGGACTCTCAAGAAATGTCTGCCTGACGACAGTCACAGAGGAAGCTGCAACAATGTGTGAAAGCACACGCCACGACACACCTCCAATAGTTCAAAATGTGAAAGTTCATTGTTAAAAAGTGAAATCATCAACCACACTCAACTGAAGCCGGGGCTTCCAGTGACTGGACAGGTGTTGCCGTTGCACCCACGCACACGACAAGCCGTCAAGAGCGATAGCCGAAGTTACTCTATATCTATATCTACACTCTGTATCATTTTCCTTCAGCTTATGCAAACCTTTGCGCGGTATTTTCTTCTGTCACTTGTATTAACTCGCAAGCCAGTAAATTAGAAAATAGGAAATTACCCAATGTATGGAAAAAACATGTGATTAGGGGGTTTTTTTCATTCGTGCCACAGGTCATTTACGACGAGGGGCCGTTGTACGTCTTTGCAAAGACAGAGGAGACCCGCATTCAGTGGATAAAGAAGCTGAAAGACAGTGAGTATAGGTATTAGAAGTTGTAGAACGGTGTGTGTGTGTACGTGTCTGATGCAGTAAATGCGTATCTTAACATTGCCATGGGCCTTGCGGAACAGAAGCGCTGGGTGCACATGCAAATGAAAATGTTGATTTAATGTAAATGTGTTTGTGCCGATACTTGTCCTTAGTGGTGCGCTTGAACAAGGACCTCATGCAGAAGTACCACCCTTGTTTCTGGGCGGATGGGACGTGGCTTTGCTGCCAGCAGGAGGTTAAACAAGCAATGGGTTGCAAGGTGCTGGACCGTAAGAACGGTGAGATTGAGATTCGCTTTGGTTCGAAATCAGCAACAATAAACTTTAGCCGACTGGCGACTCATTCCATTCATGCATAAAATTGTGTGTTTGACAGGCCTTTCATCCAAGTCATGTTATCGAAGGGGATCCAGAAAACCCCTTCCTCCTACCCCAACCGAGGTTTACACTCAGTCCCTTTTCAATGATATTCGCGGACTACTCAAAAAGCCAACTCAATTAATACCTCCACTAATCCTGTGTTTGTTCCAGGAAAAGGCTGTTCGGCCTTTACCTCCACAGCCACCTGAAGAACCTTCACCCTCCGTAGGCATGACTGTCATGGCAGAGTATGATTACACGCCTATGACACCCCAAGACCTGGAGTTGAGGAAGGACGAGGAGTACACCATCCTGGAGATGTCTGATCAGAACTGGTGGAAAGCCCGGGACAAATTTGGGTGAGAAAGCGTTAACGCAAGAAGCCTGTGCAATCACTTACATTACTTTCCATTACAAGTCATTTAGCTGAGGCTTTTATCCAAAGCGACTTACATTACATTTTTATCCCATGGCTTTTACATTTAAAACAATGTCCTTTCAAGCACAAGTGCAAAATCCTATCCTTAGTATTCGTGAGTGCTTCACATTTCAGCCAAGATGCACATTTGTTTACATTACTAATGAACAAAATATGTTTTTTTTTCTTTTGCAGAAAGGAAGGATACATACCTTGTAATTACGTTGTGGAAGCCACAAATGGGCTAGAAAAATTTGAGTGAGTATGGTCACTGTAGTGTTGCCTCTCAGTTCTAGTTCCTCACATAATCCTTCATTCATATTCATTTGTATTCACTCAGCCGATTGATGCTTCTCTCTGTCTGCACATGGATGTATGTTTGATTGCTGAAGCAATAAATGTTGAAGAAAAAGATTTCAGAAACAATTTGATTCACTTTCACTTTTCACAGCTGGTATTCCAAGAACATGAACCGTAGCCAGGCAGAGCACCTGTTGAAGACTGAGGTACACCCATTGACATGCGCAGTGATGCAGCGGACAGCTTTGATAAGTTTGTGAATCTACAAATGAGTAGAACGTAGCTGCGTTTAATTTTTAAACGTAAGCTTGTGTTGTTTCCCAGAATAAAGATGGTGGCTTCCTGATACGGGACTCCAGCAAGGCCGGGAAATACACTGTGTCTTTGTTCAGTAAGGGCGGCGGGTGAGTAAGCTGCAGTATATTGCACTGCGTCTACTGGCTCCAGTCATGTGTGAACGTATCAAAAGAAGAACTGTTTGCAATGAAAGCGGAAACAGAGGGCTACAGAGGGAGAGAGATGTAAATTCTTCATGCAAAACATGGACAGGACTGCTGGCAGAACTTTTTTCATTGCACGGCTCTGGAAGACTGCTGTGGATATTTATATTGACTAGATACTATGCAGACGTGATAAATGCATGCGTGAAAAACCTGCGACTGATGTGACTCTTCCTTTCCTCTCAACAGGGACTCTGGGGGAAGCTGCAGACATTATAACATCTGTACCACAGCACAGGGACAGTTCTACCTGGCAGAGAAACATAATTTCAGCACCATCCCAGAACTCATCAACTACCATCAGCACAATGCAGCAGGTTGATACAACAACTTAACATATAGGTTATAGATGAAGCCATTTTCTTTTTTTAAGTATTGGAATGCTTGTTAAAAGGAAATGACCCAACAGGAGGAAGGGAAAGAAATGAAGGACGTTAACAGTAAATCAAGGAAATGGAGTCTGTGCATCAACAATTTTGACTTTGACTGGTTTTGTTATCCCCTTCACTAGGTATGGTTAGCAGGCTGAAATACATCGTATCGAACCGGGCACAGCCTCCTTCAACAGCAGGACTCGGCTACGGTATAGTGTGACTATATCAATGTATATGATTCACATGTTTGCTTGTTAATCATATGTGGTGATCAACCTCTGGTGTCTGATTAGAAATGTCTCTGTGGGAGCAATTCAGAACTTTTCCACTCTCCCATGCTGATTGCATAACCACAGTGATGATTTGTTAATAGCGTTTGAGGGCACGAGCCTTTGTTGACAGCCCCGTTAATTAAACATAAAAGCAATAAAGCTCCTTTGCTTTTGTGCCTACCAGCACTTCTAATGCTTACCACTCGCATGTTGTATTATGTTTGCTTAATGCATGTTCAAAATACATTTGAAGTTGCCAAGCAATCAGTGGAGAAACCAGAAAATCCAAATCCCAAATGAATTATCATTTAAAACACAACAAGACAAAAAAAACATCTGTTAAAAATCTGTTATGCTCCCCGATTCTGCCTTGTTTGCTCCAGGTGTTTGGGAGATTGACCCCCGTTACCTCACCTTCATCAAGGAGCTGGGCACTGGTCAGTTTGGAGTGGTGAAGTATGGAAAGTGGCAGGGCCAGCATGACGTTGCCATTAAAATGATTAAAGAGGGATCCATGTCCGAAGATGATTTCATAGAAGAAGCCAAAATCATGATGTAAGCCAAAATTCTATGAGCTGACCTGCCATTAACTTCCTTTTGCTCCATTTCAACTAGCTGCAGTTAAAAAATATGCTGATGATTTTGTGCGTTAGACTCATAAAGCACATGTGTCCCACTGAGAAGTGTGGTTTATATAACTGTGAAAAAAACCCAACCCCCTCATACTTAACTTCCTTCTCCTTTTGCTTAAACCAGGAAGCTTCGCCATGAAAACCTGGTCCAGCTGTACGGCGTGTGCACCAAGCAGAAACCCATTTACATAGTGACTGAGTTCCTTCCCAACGGCTGCCTGCTGACGTACCTGAGAGAAGGCCTGACGCAGCACCCGACAGCGGTCCAGCTCCTGGAGATGTGTAAAGACGTCTCTGAGGGCATGGCCTATCTCGAGTCCCAGCAGTACATCCACAGAGACCTGGTCAGAGACAAAGATCTACGTTGTTTTTTTTTCTTCCTCTGGATCATTCCATCGTGTTGAGAGGCTGGGTTTAAATATTTGAAGATAACAGTAAATGTGTAATGATTACTGTTGAGTCAAGAGTTTTGTTTGCTTTTTCCTCAGGCGGCCAGGAACTGTTTAGTTGATGGGAATGGCACCATTAAAGTGACTGATTTTGGACTTTCAAGGTAAAATACTTATACTCATAAGACAACTAGCTTCATTTAGAACAACACAGTAGGGAAATGCTGCAAACATGTTTGCCTTAAGTAGGGGTCATTGTTTAAGTAATTGAACTTTTGATACCTTCAGTACATTGAGTCGACCATTGACAATCTTTCAGTACTGTTTTCCTGTGACCACTGACTATTTCCTTAATCCCTGCCTTAGGTATGTCTTAGATGATGAGTACACAAGCTCAGCAGGGTCCAAGTTTCCTGTTCGCTGGTCACCTCCCGAGGTCCTCCTCTACTGCAAGTTCAGCAGCAAGTCAGACATATGGGCGTATGGTGAGCAAAGTGCAAGTTTTCAATTCCCCACCGCATTTCTGCTCAGTTATAACTGTAAACTGCTAACCATCATCAGGACTTTCTTCAGCGCCTTTTTCTATAAATTGTTAGGGGTTCTTCTGTGGGAGGTCTACACCCTGGGACGGCTTCCGTATGAGCGCCTCAACAACACAGAAATAGTTGATCAGGTGTCTCGGGGCCTGCGCCTCTTCCGCCCCCAGCTGGCCAACGAAAAGGTCTACAGCCTTATGACAACCTGTTGGCTCGAGGTAAATTCATTTTGCGTCGGGCTGCGGGCCTCACTGGAGGTTACACCGATGACCCCGTACAGACTGATGAGATTACATTGAACACAATATCCAAACAGCAACTGCAATCTCGCAAATTCTTTTTGTTTTTCGATTTCAGAAAGCAGATGAGAGACCCACCTTTCAGGAGCTGGCACTGACGGTTCAGGATTTGTTGTACGAGCTCCAGTAGATCTCAAGATATCCCCAACACACACCCTGAGGATTTTCTCTGGTCTGCACAGAGCATTGTCTCCTTCTATTCCTGGAAAGTCAAGGGCAACCACTGGAGCATGGGAGTGACCAGTGACACTGATGTCCTCTGTAATGTGAATATATGTAATACAAATGCCGCTATAACTTCCTACATAGATATATATACATACTAATGTAATGTATTACATTACTAGAAGTACAGTCCTAGAGGCTAGCATTTGAAATATGTTATTGTTGGTTATCTGTCTTTATTGAATCCTGTGTGTTTTATTCTGTGGAATCACTGTCAAATGTATACACCTTTGCATGTGGAGGGGAAGCTTTGTGAGAACATATCTATTGCACAGATAAAAGCCAAGTATGCCGGGCTTTGAAAATTACTGAAAATAAAATGACAACGTGTCAAAATATTTGGTAAACCTTTTGTTCTCACGTTCCAATCAACCGTAACGTTTTTTATAGATGTTTTGATTGATTGGAATTTGTGTTATATTTCTAATATATGTGTACTACCACCACGACTACTACTAGTAATAGTAATTTTACTGTGATGACGACATCCTCCTGAAGAACGCGCTCTGTGATTGGCTGAACTACTTCCGCCTTCCGGTCGACCAGTTATACACGTGAAGGTCAGTAACAGAGCGATAAGATATTTACAATTGGAAGAGTATTGCAGAAGCAAACACTTTTTAGCAAAATATGAACGGCCAAGGAGCGACAGCCGACCCTCAGCTTCAGCAATTCATCGAAATCGAGTCTCAAAAACAGAGATTTCAGCAGCTGGTGCATCAAATGACTGAAGTTTGCTGGGTAAGATCAGCTTTACGCTAGCAAGGCAGCTCTGCGCTTCACCTCTTTAGCACGTATGTAACTATGTAGCTAAAGCTAAATGCTATGATTATTATTTACGACTGGGGTCACTTGTTTTATTTGCTGTTTTGTACCATGCAGTCGGTCAAATAACTTTCCCAACTGTGAAAAACCTATGCGTTATTATTACGTTTTATTACATTATTGGTTGTTTTTTAAACGTTAATATGTCTCCAAACTGCTCCAACCCGGGCGCTGATTTCAAACCCCTGGTCTCGTGTGTCGTCCACAGGAGAAGTGCATGGACAAACCCGGACCGAAGCTGGACTCCAGGACGGAAATGTGCTTCGTCAACTGCGTGGAACGATTTATCGACACCAGCCAGTTCATCCTGAACAGACTGGAACAGACTCAGAGGGGAAAGGGCTCGTTTTCTGAGACCATGTCAGAATAAAAAAATAAAAGATGAACTCTCACCGGAAGGACCGACCAGACACATGCACGTGCCCGATGGCAGGGCCGTTTTGTCCTGACACCAAGTGTCCTTTCAACCGGAGAAAGGAACGGGACTGAGTGTCTCATTGAAAACAAAGTGCCTCAGATAGACACAATGTGTGGATGCAGAAGTCTAGGATTTTAAGGATAAGGGTGTTGCAGAACACTTAGATTGCAGTCTGTTAACAGGGACTTCCACGCAGAGGTTTTTTTTGTTATTTGAAGCTGAGCTTGAATGTGTGTGTGAGGCTGCAGAGAGTGATGCATCCGGGACGTCCAGCGTCAGCCAGCTGTTTTTAACAGCCACAAGGACATCGCCAACCACACACACACACCTTTTCAGAGAACTAACCGATGTCTTGACCGAAGAGGCGCTAGGTTTTGGACTGTACATATGCAATAAACATAATGCCAAAATAATCTTGTGGAAAAGTGTTGTCAAGTAATGTTGTAATTCAATTTTAATAATACACACACACAACGTTTCAGTTACACCAGAGACATGTTACAGCTCGGCACATGTTGGGAATTAATCCACACAGGAAAAGGACGTTCTTTGGTGTGATTTGTATAGAATAATGAGGTATTACGTTAACTCAAAAGAGGAATTATTCAAACTTACAAGTGATTGAAATGCATTCAGGACAAATTATATTTTGCCTCTACGTTGGTCTTAAATTACACATTCGTACAACGCCATATATGCCGGGTTAAAAGTGCAGACCCACAATAAGGCTTTTGTTTTCAGTAGCTGAAGGCACAATCTGGTTTAGGCAGGCTAATATGTATAATTTACATTCATCTTTGCACTTAATGTATTAAATACAGATCAGTGCAACAAAACCCTTGTGTGTTTTCGATCTAAAGATGTAAATGTACCATCATGTAAAAAATAAAAATGATGTATTATCAAAGCCAGTATATTGACAGGAACAGTACGCTCACTTAGAGGAACTTGGTTCTACTGCATTGTGTAAGACAGACGTGAAAGAAAATGTACTTGTCACATTGTGAGGCTGTGATGTGAATTTCAGCAGTGACGAGACTAGTGGTCCTCCTTAAGGAGGTCTCTGGTGCGTTCCCCAGTCCTCCTTTGAGCTACCTTCTCTGGGAAATGTAATCTCACCTTCTGCTTGGGCTTCGTGGCTGGGAACAGCCAAATAAGGCCTCTGCCCCCATGGAAAGCCCAGAGGACCTTTCCTCAAGTAGAGTGGGAGGGAATCCCATCTGAATGTAATGTCCTTGAAGGCGTGGAGGAGGAAAATCCCCAAAATGATGGTGAGGAACCCACTGATTGTTCCAACTACTCCGTCAGCGGTCATGCGCAACCATTCCTTGAAGAGAATGGCTGAACAGGCCATGACGGAGGTGGTGAAGAAGACGTAGTAGATGGGTGTAACTAACGAGGTGTTGAAGATGTCGAGGGCTTTGTTCAGGTAATTTATTTGAACGCTCACGCAGATTATCAGGCAGATGACTAAGGACCAGAACAGGGGCTCCTTCAGCACTGCTGTCCCAGCAAACAGCTCCTTAATGCCAATGCCCAGGCCCTTGACACAAGACACAGACAGGGAGCCAATCACCGAGCAGATCAGGATGTAGACCAGCACATTCTTCTGTCCCAACCGCGGAGCCACAGCAAAGATTAGCACCAGGCTGCATCCAACAACGCACACAGCAAACACAATGAAACCTGGTGGGAGCATTCAAGAATGAGTTAGTACCCTGGAACGGATTCAGCTTCCACGGCGGGGTTAATTGCGTTCACACCGGTGGCGGGCTGGTCCTACCTGGGTCTCTGAGCTTCTCAGCCATGGCAGTGAGGGAGGCGACCTCCTCTTCCTGCGGCGCATGAATCACCATCACTGTGGAACCCAAGACGCACAGCAAACAGCCAATCTTCCCGTGCACATTCAGCCTCTCATTCAGAAAGTAGGAAGACAGCACAGCACTGGAAGAAAACAAATTATGCTGATTAGGGGTCAGCGGCACACATTTTGATTTTTAAATATTTAGTCTGAGGGGTCAAAGATAACTGAAAGGAAAAAAAAATAATGGACACCTTGTCCCTTCTTCAGACTGATGAAGTAGTCAGAAAAATAAACTAGAATCAAAGGCTCACAGTTGTATGGTTTATTATACAATTACAGTTGGTATCCACGCCTGCCCGAAGTGTCGTCATACGAGACATTTGTGTGAAATTGTCAGAAATAACATACAACTTAGTGAGTTATGCCCCAAAAAAAGCATTGTAGACCACATAACATTACGATACTATAAACTGCTCACGGCCATGATGAAGAAGGAGTTTCTCACCCAGTGAAACAATGTGACAGTTATGTTACCTGACAAGTACGCTCAACGCTCCAAGAGGAGTCACCAGTGTGGCCGGTGCAAATGCGTATGCAGCGAAGTTGGCGGCCTCTCCAGTCGCCACTAGAATATAAGCACAACCATCCGTGTATGCAGGTTAATGGCCGGTGCAGGTAGTTCAAGATTTAACAATGTTTCTTTTCTAAACCCACGTGTGCAAATGTGGCCTCAGGAGACATTGTGTGGGTGCTGCAGCAAAGGCAACCTCACCAGCAAAAATTGCAAACCCACAAGAGCCTCATTTCCACTGTGAGGAACAAAGAGCCCAGTGTTTCACGGCAAGGCTGGTAAAGTAAAAGAAAGACAAGCTGCAGACCATGTTACCCATTTGCAGAGCTTAACGTAAGAATCATTCACTTACTTGAAATGAGTCCTGCCCACCACAGCCATTCCTTCAGGTAGGCATACCCCCCTTGACCTGTGAGATGCAGAAAAAAAAAATAGATGTAACAGTTACCGGTTACTCAATGAGAACATTCTCCTCTGATTTGACATTTTAGGAATCATTAATTTACTAACACCTCCTTTATCCTTGAAAAAAAAAAGTCCTGTTAACGGTTATTGGCCTTAAATATTTATAAAGTGTATGTTTTCTGGCCCTGTAAGCCTCTAAGGATAAGCAGTGTAAGAGATGAATGAATAAATAACTCTTGGCATATGATATTATTCCAATGTGTACATCGGAGGGAAATATGGCATCATACATTTATACAGCAGCTACAGTCATTACTTTGGAGACAAACATTTGAAACGCAAACATGACGATCTTACAAAATACAATGTACTTAAGAGGATTAAACTATCCAACAAAGCACAAATTAGTAGAAATAGGCTCCAGCTACGACAGTACAACTGATGCTTACTATGTGATACATCAATTTAACAGTAATACGTCAATATAATGATTCGTTCGACCAACCACCCAGCAAATTAAGTTGCAACAAACTTATGTTAATTATGTTTCTTTTAAAAGTACTAATTTCATACTTTGGTTGGAAATAAACAAATCGATCGAGAAAGTACAGTTGAATCGACAGCCGCTGCAACATTTAAAATAATAATAATAACCACAGCAGTATTTTCTGGTATGACACAGGGCACTTCTGCTGCAAAGAGTAGACCTACTTCTGCTATTGATGACACCTCCATACTTCAAACTAATTAACAGTACTTAACATAACTTCAACTTTAACTGGCACTTCACTCCCGAGTATCCCCTCCTCTGCTGAGCTTTTAGACATCTATATGTCATATATGTGTCATATGTGTGTCTACGAGGCTTGTGTTATTGCGTATGAAGCCTCTGGTCGTTTACCTGCTCGCATTGACCCTTTGCCGGCCAATCGCAGCAGGCCTTTCTTCTTCAGGATGAAACTGGTGCCGATGAACGCGCTGGAGCTCACAGCCAGCGAGAGACCGATGTAGAAGTCCAGACGGCTCACTTCCATCTGAAATACGGGATAACGCGTAGATTCACGTTTCCACGCCGGCCGGGTTTAAAATAGCTGAACTTTCTATGAAAACTTTCGGAAACTTCTCAATATAACGTTAGCAACGCCGCCGGAGGCACTATATTAACATCACATGATGGGCTGACACTCTCCCGAGACGACGTAGAGAAACAGCCTTTTAGCCGGCTGGACATGCCAAGAAATAGATAGATAACTTCTAACTTAATTTCGGTTTAGTAAAGTATAATTCACTGGTTACACTTAATACAGCTAACGGTAACTAACGTTAGTAAAATGTCGTACCTTCGTTGTCACACCAACCACATTCGACGTCGACGAAGGAGGAGCCTGTGAGCAATCTGATTGGTGGATGGGGCTCGATGCACACTGTGCCGCGTTTTGATTGGCCCAGAGACTCGGTTGCTGTTTATACAAACCGGAAGAAGAGCTAACCTTGACAAGCGAGCAACACTCGTGTGCAGTTGGTTTACGGGGAAAAGGCAATTTAATAAATAGCACCCAGCGGGGTTATCCAAGAGTTGCTAGTCTTTCTTTCACTGATAGTAATCGGAACACAACACACCTTTTGTTCGTGTGAATAGCTGTAAGTGAATGTCTAGCACTTTTCAGAACATTACTGCCTGCCGGATGTCTTCACGAGGGCATCGCCTGCCATTGAAAGATGAAGACCTCTCTCCTGTTTGTCAGCACAGGCTGTAAGGCTGTTCGCACCCTGACAAAAAGCCCGGTTTTCTCACCTGTCACAGCTCTATCTAGACATCAGAGGATTGCTGTGTGGAGATCCTCGAGCACACGTTCCTGCGAAGACGACAAGAGTTACTACGTTACTACTCCCATCTTCTATGTAAACGCTTCTCCTCATTTAGGACACCTGTATTCGGCTGTCATTGCTGACTGCGTACACAGGTATAAGCTTCTACAGGGCTTCAACTCAAAGTTTGCAACAGGTAAATCCCCCATAGAATATTTATAACTTGTCCTTTTACTCGTAATGCTTTAGATTGCATGTGATGTCCACAATGTTTTGGAAGTACAAATCTACGTTATTGTAACTCAATCGGTTATTAGAAATGTATGGAAAGAAATCTGTATTTGATTTATTTCCAATATCTTCTGGTAAATAAAACAAGCTAAACGAAGCAGTCATCTTGGGGCTGTGAAACAATAACGACCACTATTTTTCACATTTTATGCAATTTCTGAAGCAATCATTAATCATTATATTGAATATCAGGCACAGATGAACACGGCTTGAAAATCCAACAAGCTGCCGAAGCGTCTGGAAAAAATCCCTTGACCTTCTGCACAGATGTTTCGGAGAGATACAAACATCTCTTCGACAGCTGCGACATATCGTATACAGACTACATAAGAACCACTGAGCAAAGACACAGAGCGGCCGTGACGCATTTCTGGTCAGTGCTCGCTGACAAAGGGCTCATCTATAAGGGGAGTTATGAAGGCTGGTACTCCACCCAAGATGAAAGTTTCCTCACGGAGTCTCAGGTGGCCGACGCTTTGGACTCATCGGGGAGAGAGATCAAAGTATCACTGGAGAGTGGCCACAAGGTAATCAAAGGGAAATTGAGATGATGGCAAAAGTGTGATTTCAGTGGAAATGCAGCACACATTTGGTTTCCGTTGACAGGCTTTCATCATCTTGTTACATGACATAGAAAAGGGGCATAGCATTGTTGAGCAATGGGGATTTACCAGGGGTAAAATATTTTTGGGGGGATGGAACTTCAGAAGTTCTAATTTCATAGAACCCAACATTTTGAACTTTGTTTTTAATGAGTCTCGTAAGTGCCTCATCTTGATGAAAGTTGCAGCACCAGCACTTCTAAAACTCCCAAATGAACATTGTTTTTATCATCTCATCTTTTTGCATGAAAGGAATCCGAAATGATATCGCACGCATTGTGCAGTTCTATTGTGTCAACACAACTTCAATCCGATCTCCGCTGTTTGGCAGGTGGAGTGGATGACGGAGGAGAACTACATGTTCCGTCTGTCTGCGTTTCGGTCTCAGCTGCTCCAGTGGCTCAGAGGAAATCCCCGAGCCATTCAGCCGGAGCGTTTCCACTATGCCGTCCTGCAGTGGCTGCAGGAGGACCTTCCTGACCTCTCGGTCTCCCGCCAGAGGAGCCGACTGCAGTGGGGCGTCCCGGTACCGGCCGACGCTGAACAAACCATCTACGTGTGGTTAGATGCACTGGTGAACTACCTCACGGTAGCTGGCTATCCCGATGATCACAACAAATGGTGGAACACGGCGCACCACATTGTTGGAAAGGACATCTTAAAGTTTCACGCCATCTACTGGCCGGCGTTTCTTCTAGGAGCGGGACTGCCGCTGCCGCGGACCATATACGTGCACTCCCACTGGACGGTCGGGGGGAAGAAGATGTCCAAAAGCTTGGGTAACGTGGTGGATCCTCTTGAACGCTCCCAGACGTTCACAACTGATGGCATGAGGTACTTTCTTCTCCGGCAAGGAGTCCCGGACTCGGACTGCGATTACACGGACGACAAAGTAATCAAGCTACTCAACGCCGAGCTCGCCGACTCTCTGGGCGGCCTGCTGAACCGCTGCACGGCTCCGGCTCTCAACCCGGCGCAGGTGTACCCTTCTTTCTGCCCTCGGTGCTTCCCGAGCGAAGGGGGTGGCAGGGCCGCGGTTGAGGACCACCACATGTTGGAGGCTGTGAGCAGCCTCCAGGCGGCGGTGGAGCAGCACTACGAGAGCATGAACGTGTACAAAGCTCTGGAGGCCGTCGCCGCCTGTGTGAGGAAGACCAACGGGTTTGTGCAGCGCCACGCACCTTGGAAGCTGGACGGGAGGGACGGCGAGGACCAGCGATGGCTGGACACCATCATTCACGTGTCCCTCGAGTGCCTGAGGATTTACGGCACGCTCCTCCAGCCAATAGTGCCGCAGATTTCAAACAAGCTGCTGTCCAGACTCGGGGTGAGGCCAGATGAGAGGAGATGGGCGGACGTGAACTTCCTGCCGAGGTATCGGGGAATGGACTGTCCCTTCGAAGGCAGGGCGCTCGGGCCGGACTGCGGAGTGCTTTTTAGTCGTCTGGAAAGTCTGAATTTAGATAAACGAAAAACGAAGACAACGAAGACGCGAAACTCTAAATGATTTCTTGTAAAAGATGTTCACCTACATTAGACACATTGGTATCACAACTGTTTAAATACCAATGGGGACTTTTTTCAGGTCCCAGTAGGAAAAACAAAGATGAATGATGGCTGTAGCTGCTTTGGTTTTAAGGCAATGATTTGGTCCACGCTGGCTTACTGGGACACTTGAAATAACAGCAATGGATGTTGTTAATAAACTTGTGCTTCTCTGACGTTGTCAAGTTGAAATGTCTGTACTGAAAAAAGAGGTATACCACTTAAGTTGCAGAGTTATGTCAGTGATGCTAAACAGACACAAAATGTAAAAGCTTTAAGCTCACACGGACCGACTTTACAGCTCAAGTTACCTTGTTTAAGAACATCTGGAATAAATCATCCACTGCTATGCA